ACACACACACACACACACACACACACACACACACACACACACACACACACACACACACCACACTACTAACACCCTCCCTTCAGCTCTCCTCTGGGCTGCAGAGCCATGTTTCAACATTGTTTCCAGATGTGAGGAGAGTTGAAGGGAAAAGGTGGGGGCCAGTGGTCCTGCCCATCTCCTCTAAACTTCAGCTCCAAGGAGCTCATACCGGCTAAACCCATCTTAGAAGTAGGAGAGTCAACATCTCTTCTGTTTTATACGTTTTAGGCTTTTACGTATGTAAATCCATTTTAACTATATGCAAAAATAAAAGTTTTAATCGTTACTAGATTTTGCAAAAATTGAAGCAAAAAGTCATTACTGCACTTTGGAAAAGTCAGAATAAGTCCCCCCCACCCCAGCAGGATCTCATAAGTTTCACTCCAGACACACTGAAGGGGTTTTCAGACCTCAAAGAGAACCAGAAGCCTCTCGTCTCAAAGAGCACAGGGATAAAATGTGAAAATGGTGTTTTGCTCACCTTTCCTTCTCAACAACTTTGGAACTATGTGCACATACAACACACTCTCTCTCCCAACCCATCACATTTTGGCTGTGTCCAAATTCAGAGGCTATGTCCTCTGAAGGACCTGGCCTACCCGGTCTAGGTGGGCCGAGTCCTTGATAGACTGTGAAGACTGAAAAAAAGTGGCTGTGAATTTGGATGGTCTAGCCTTCCATCCCACCAGATTTTTATTTAAAACATATTCCTTTCTCTCACTTCGTCCGCAATTACGAGCAGAAAACAAATCTCCAGTTGACCCGTAATGCATTATGGGATATGGTGGGCTGAGAAGGATCCATCGAATCCATCCTTCGGATCAGGGCAAGAGAAGGATGCATTTGTCAGCCGCATCGGAATAGTCTTTGGATTTGGACAGCCTCCAGCACCGAACTGTGAAAGTGGCCAACAAATTTGGCCTTCAGAGGGCCCAGCCTCTGAATTTGGACACAGCCACTGACAATTGGTCAAGTTCCCTCTGCATCCAGTTTTGATGTGCCGCGTACATCTCTTGCATCAGTAATTGACAAGATGGAAACAAGGAGGAGGAGTCTGTTGTTATGTTTTTGAAAAGTGTAGAAAATGCACAACTAACTGTAGTCCTAACCATGACCCCAAACCATAAACTTAACTTCTATTAGCTCTAAACAGCCAAACTCTGACCTTACTACCTGAACCTAACCAGCAACCTTGATCCCTAAATTTAACCACAGACCACCAACTCAAAGACCCTATCTGATGCCTCAATAATTAACACGAGGATGGTAATCAGCGTGTCAAAAAGTAGACACAGAGGGAACCTGACCAAACATCAGTTTGTGATGAATAGGGAGTGAGAAGGTGTTGGCACATAAACTACCCCCCTGACACACCTCCTGTTAAATGTGCAGATATGTCCTGCACAGATTCTCCTGTCTGCATGATCAAAAATGATGTCTAGATGCAGGACAATGAAGAATTTATTGGAATGTGACTCAGTGAGCCTCTAAATAAGGTAGTGAGGACTAAAAACGTATCTGGCACATTGTCCTTTGGTATTTGTTTGACTCTCAAAGAGGAGTGACGGGGTGGGAAGCGGTGGTTGTCACAGCACCACACACCTGTAGAAAATTGAAAAGGTTTAACAATCGGACATAAAAGTAGGAGTAAAGTGARGGACGGCTGCCCTTCCCCTCTCATTCAGTAATGTCAGACAGCACTTCCTGTATGTGAATTAAACCAGGGGAAAGCATCTGCCAATGAGGCATTTCCAACTTTACTCAATGTGTTTAATATAATTACTAAACACAGAGACACTCGGGTGTTTGGTATTTTAGGACAGTGTAAGCCAAAGCTTTTTAAATTTGCTCTCTTTGACTTCACAACATAAAGAAATAAAAGCAATGCAAAAGAGAAAAACATGAACCGAATCATTATTGTGACTGCCAGCCTTTACTTTGCAACAAAGATTTAGTATGTGTATTTTAGTTGGGTCTTTAAAATGAGTTGCTTTGTTTTACTTGTTACTGTAATCTCCTTTTTTAATTATATTTTAATATAATTCCTGCTGGTAAATATGATGCTTGGGTAGTGGGTACATTGTGTGCTCACATAGATACTTTGTTCAGTTCATATACGGTGGCTGTCAGAGTGCTTGCTAGTTTTCAAATGGGAAAACAATATTAACTCTGGCTCCACTCCTTTTATGTGGGCTGTTTGACATATTATCTGTCTTTTTAAAAACTAATTAAGTTTTTAATGTAAGCCTTAAATGTCATACTTTTTAAATTGTACAAGATAAATTGTCTGTATGTGTCTTTGTAAGTGAGTGACTGTCACTGAGTTACAAGTACACCTACTGAGTAAAAACAATTACAACTACAGAGTCAATAATTATAAACACTCACAGACATAAAACTGTAAGCGCCCAGATAGAATGGTATAAATTAAATCAAAGCAGATGGGATGAAAGGTCCTGTGATTGTACTGCAATGATTTCAGTATCAGATCAAATGAAGTTTGCAGTRCAGCCAAGCAGCTGGTTCCATGTCAGCAGGATGTGGCACCTCCTCAGGCATTGGTACAAGCAGCACTTTGGTCCAAAACAAACTGTATCCATTGGGCACTCTTATATCACGTCAGCCCACCTGTTGATATGGGTCCTTGACATCCCACAGGTCAACTCTGGAATAGAGTTGATGTCCAAGCTGAAGGATCAGGAGACCCGGTTGGCCGGGGAAGGACCTGAACATGACACTGGCAGGATATATACACACGTGCTGGGTGTGAATGGGTATTTGTATTTTTATTAGGGCACTTTCCCAGGAGCAGTAAGATGCCACTGACCTAATGCTTTGTTAGCAGAGTCCTTTGAATTCCTACCAGAGGTAACCTAAAGTCATACCCTATGACTCCTCACACCATAATGCCAAGAGCAATGCCAATATGTTTCTCCATAACCTTGACAAAATTGATCTTCTCCCTGTATTCACACATGAAGATCATTAGTGGTACTGAAAAACAGATTAATTGATATGCAGCTCATCATCAGTATGCCTCCTGGTTATGGCATCCCTGCAAATGTATCTGTCTCTGCTCTGGTGTTAATAGTTGACCCTGTATTGGACAGTAAAGATGCCAGTCATTAAGCCATAGTGCAGGACAACGTGGGCTGTTGCAAAGAGTCCAGTACCTGTGTCTTGAGTCGTGGGTACAGAGGCCGATGGGTTCACAATGTGTGAGGCTGCCCTCATGTACTCACTGGTTCAAACATCGGGCCACTGTGAGATCTGTATGCTCCATATTCCAGCAAATTACACAATACAAGCAACTGGTCTCATGCAAACCTAAAATAAAACTCCTCCTAAACTCTGTCAAGTGCTGGTAATGCTGTTTAATGAATCTATGAACAATCTGTTGGACTGCAAACACTATTGCTCCACCCATGATGCCATTTCTCATGTCCTCTGGTGCCTGTTCTAGAAGTGCTAGCTTCTTAAAATCAAATCATTTACATTTCCATCAGTGTTCTGGACTCAATTTGATCCAAAGCCAGCCATTCCTCCTTGGTTAACTTTTTTTTTACCATTGAGTCTTTTCCTCCTCTGTTACAGTTTGCAAGACAAAAAAACAATAATGCAGTTTATTCTAATCTGTATGCAGCAGCTTTAGTTTGCAATTGTATCTTTTGAATTCAATCAGCATGTTGGAAAATATACCATGATGGTAGTGATATACTGGAATAAATTTGCATACTGTATTTAACTTATTAACCAAAATCTGCCACCATGGCGCTAAGGTTTCTTTTTACACCATGTAGATAAAAATCTGTTGCTCTTATCTGTGATCATCTAATCCCTGGATGTACAATTCTATTTACAGAACATTGGCACTAATCCTATCAGATTAAACCTGACCAACCCAATACAATCACTACATAGTCTTAAGGATGGTAGTGAAAACCTATTTTTATGAGAAAAAATAAAGACCTACAGAAGAACTTAGTCCCTTTCTGGAGTTTTAACCTCAGCATCAAAGAGGGAAACAAACAGGATTCGTGGCTGGACTCTGCGTCTAGAGTCAGAACTAACAGATAGTGTTGCACTGGAAAACGGTGTGCCTTAAGATGCTGTTACTATGACTGCATCAGTGTGTTTTCTTTTTTAGGTTATTAGAGGTCGGTGTACATGTTCAGATATGGCTTGGTGTAAATTCATGCTGAGTCTCAGAAGCAGTTGGGATGCTTAAATTTAAGTACCTGGGCAACAAGCTCCACAAGCACCATCGTCCCAAATAGATCTGTGTGATATCCTTCTACCTATGAGGATTTGTGAAAGCTGTTATTGCCAGCAGCAGTGTCAGATCATTTTCTGCCAATTTACAGTTCATGAAACCATTTATAAACAAGCCAGTTTCTATATTTAAGTTATTTTTAATGGAATAATTAACAGGAAGTGCAGAAAGGCTTCCAGGGNGTGCGTGTGTGTGCATGTGTGTGCATTTGTCAAGCAAACAAATTCATCCCCATTTTCATGTTCCCAGCTGGCAGTCTTTGGATACTATGGTGTGTTGTGTAAAGGCTGCCCTGCGGTGCCATTTGAAGAAAATGACTCCATGTCCTCAATCTTCTGTCGTTGATTTCCCCGTCTAACAGATCTGTTGGTTTTCAGCAGAAGCTGATGAATGTAACTCCTGCTGGAACAGGCGGCTCTCTCCAGGGAAAGCTGCACAAACACGACTCCTTSATGCAACGATTGCCTTCCTCTGTATTATCCTGAGTTCTGCTCTGAATTAACACCGGAACAGTAAGTGAGTGTCACATTTCTATCTTCTTGAGCATCAGACTGCATGAAAAGACCATTACTACACATATGTTTGTACTGTCTTTGAAAAGTTTACTTGTGCTCCCTACGCATTCACCTTATTTGTATAGGCGTATCATTCAAACTCAGCCATTGTTTTGTCATACTGTTCATACAAACTGCATTCAAATACAGTGACATGTTTCCTGTTTGCTCATAGGCTGAAATACTGAAGAACAAAGCACAGATCAAGTAGTCAAACAGCACTTCCATACTTCCTGGACTCATTCTTGATTTTAATCATAAACCACTTATGTATTATTTTAATTTTTATTTGTTAGACAGCTCAAGATGCAAAAGGAACACACAGCCGATTAATGTGTGATGTACAGTAGGACTCCTGGGCAGGAATTGTACGTGAGGTGCTTTTATATTGAATGAGATTTCTCCATGAGTTATCAGGACTGTTTGTATCACTGTGGAGCACTTTGAAAGTCAGAAGTTGTGTGCAACACTATATGGTCCATGTCATTTAGGATATTCAACAATGGAGGATTCTGTAGTCAACGCTGTGTGTTAGGGGATTTTTGGTTTAAAATTGAAAGCATAGTTTGAAAGTGAAACTTTAGAAGAAGGCATTACAGGAGCCAAGGCTCATACAAAAAGAGTCTGCATTGTTCGGCACATGTTTACAGAAGAACTTGTAGCAGCAAAGATGACATTAAGTAGCTTCTGCCAGGATTGTTATAGTATTTAAGTGTGACAGGGCCTGAAGCAAAGCAGACACATTTAACCCTTGTATTGTCCTTTAACGTTATGACAAGTTGTATTCATTAGGGTAAAAACATCGACAATCTTACATAACTAATAAAACTACTACTAAAAAAATCACAATAAACAGCCAATCTTTTAGAGCTATCGCGGTCTGAAATAAAAATATCCAAATTTAAATGACTTTTTATAAATATTTTAAATTCTTTAAAAGGCCGTTAGTTTTTTTTATTAAAAGTCCACATTTCAGTATTTTTCTCAAAATCATAGAAACATTTATTTAATGACAATGTTTGAAAATGTTTTGACAATTAAAAAAATTCCAGTCAGGAGTTTTGTGAAGACCCTCCAGCCCCACAGATGCTTCAGATCCACTAGCTGAAAATGATGTCATGTTTTTGTCGTTGTTATTACATATGTTTATTTTTCAATCTTTGTTTGTTTATATTTTTCTGAATCTCTACTCATGCACAGTTCTAGTTTCTGTTTAATTTTTGGTTTCTACTGACCCAAATATATAGTTTTAATGAACTGCTTCTGCCTGTGCATCTGGTAATGACATCCTCCTTTTCAGGAGAAGCTAATAGGAGAAGGCTGTTCTGTGCCATGGAGTGTCCGATTCTGCAGTCTGCATGCTTGTAGAACAGCAATATTGCACTAGATGCAAGTGTGTTTTTCTCTTTACATCTGAACCAAAACAATTTTATTAGACAAAATGAGTAGTGGTACTACACAGTGACATTGAGATGAGAGATTGTATCACTTTTTAGGTAAATTGAAGCCACCTCTCAGGGATTTTTACAGCATCTCTCAAATATAAAAGCAGATCCCAGTTAGTGGGCTACTATACAAATGGAAATTATGAAGACAGAGACAAAAAACATTACTGAGAAGAATTCATTAATTTATAAGATGATAAATATGGGATTAAAAGTTGTATTTATATTGTATTTCAATGGGGTCAGCTTTTCCTCTAAGGAACACGGGAGTAAAATAAAGTTGCTGTGAGGTTACCATAGAATTTCATAAAATTTGGTCAAAATAAACAAAAAGAAAGAAAGAAACCAAATAAATGTGTGACTCGAAAATAAATGTATGGCTGATTTCCCCCCAAAAGACAAAACAGGGTTTAATTGTATGGCTGCCTAGGAAGACCTCTCAATGTGCTTGGCCAATCAGTGTATGTTTACATATGGACCAATCACATCCTCTTACTCAAGAGTCCCTGATGTGCCAAGCAAGCACCTACTCTAAAGCAGGATTTAAGAAAGACCAAATAAACACGTTAATAAGGACTACAAATAGCCACAACGCTGGCAGGGTGAAAACAAAAAACAGGTGAACTGGTTTACTGCAGACCAAAGCACCTTTGGTCACGTGGTGTGCCCTGACAACAAGTCCACTAGGCCTGTTAATGCTGTGTTTCTTATACCCAGGAAAATAAATAGTGTGTATGAGACACTTAAGGAGTGTGTGTATCTGGACCTGTGACCTGTTCAGGGTGTACCTCGCCTCTCGTCCGGTGACAGCTGGGATAGGCTTCATACCCCTGTGACCCTGAGCAGGACAAAGCGGATATAGAAAATGGATGGATTGATGGCTCTAATTTCAAAAGGCAAATGGGCCATCAAGCTGACTTGATGGAGTAAGCCTACAGCTTCATGTTATAACTAAAGTGCAAATTAAATGCCACAAACACTGCTAGCATCAAGAAAAGCAGAACCAAATCTCATTTGGAGTCAGTGTTGTTGTGAAACTCTGTCATAATAAACCACAATCTTACTTACAGCTAAATAACAAATGAGTGCAGTTTAAACAAATAAAAAATAAATAAAAAGTGCTTTTTAAAAATTGTTAAAAAAAAGCTTGGTGTTTTTACCTGTGTCTTTGATCTTAGCTGCATCTAGTTTGTGTCTTTTCATCAATTGAGCTACTGCTCTGTATTGTTTAAAGAAACTTTATAGTGATGTTAAAGGGGTATTATCATGTAAAATCAACTTTTTTGAGCTTCATATCATGTTATAATGTTATCCTCTCATCAAAAACGTACACAGAGTCTCACTGACTCATTCATGCATGTTTGAGAAATCCTGTAGTGTCCTGAAGCAGCCAGGCAGGGGAGAAAAAACGACCAGTTTGGCCTAGAACCGCCTTTTGGGATCAGCTCCTCCTCCAGGCTGTGTCTCCAAGCTGAGCGTCCTCATCACAGACCACACCTCCCCTGCGACTCCTGCAGGAGGTGTAGTGGTAGGGCACCCCATTTGGGACCAGAAAGCCCCATGTTCAACTCCCCGCCATGCCCACATGTCATGGTGTCCTTGAGCAAGACACATAACCAACCAAAGGCTCCCTGGGCACTTAGCTGCCCAGTGCTCCATTTGGATGATTCTCATATTGTGGAAATAGTTATTTAACTAGAAACAGAAATACTTGATCCACAGAATAAAGACACTTGGTAGAATGGTCTGAGTTTTTTATTGCAATAAACAAGAACACAGAGGTTAACACAGAGCCATCAGTCTGTCTGCCAATATGTGTGCTAACAGGCAGTTCTAATGGCTAACTTTATTTACTGTTTCAACATACAGATGCGATCTTAAACAGACAATGACCTCATTTAAAGCCCTGTACTGGGTCAAAATAAAACAATGTTATGATAGCAGATATAATGATAAATTACAGCAGATCTAGTAGCCAGCAGATTGTGTTGAATCACTTTGTCACAGTTTTCCATCCTGAGCAGCACATTGGTGACAGTGGAGAGGAAAAACTCCCTTTTAACAGGAAGAAACCTCCAGCAGAACCAGGCTCAGGAACCTCATGTGTTGGGTTAAAGGCAGAGCACAAATCTCATCATTGTATGGGAACATGCATTAATGACAAATAAAGTACATTTACATATTTATGCTGTAAATAAAGTTCATGTTGTGTGAGCGAAAAACAGAGTTTTGCTCAATTTTACAGATTTCTGAAGGTCAGTTTACAGGTAGCCATCTGAAGTTATGGATGCTAAGGTCTACTATTTTAATTTGTATATTCAAACAATATTTCAAAATATTCAAAAGTTCCAAACAGTCACTTGATCAGGGTGGTGTTTTGAGTATAAGGGGGTAACTCTACTGTTTCTCTACGTCTAGACTTAAAAATGTAGGCCCCTCTCAGTTTCCTGTGCTGTGGTGACGCTGCAGAAATGAGCTAACATTACTGCTTTGTAATAAACGTTTCAGTGGGGTGAAATGTACAAGAACACCTTTAAACATCTAATATTGCCAATATTGAGGCAGATAAATTCATTCTCATACCTAACTTCTCATCAGTCCGTCGTTCAAACTGATAGAAGTGCATTATAAGATGAATGTTGTTGCAGGGTGGATTTTTCAAGGTAAACTTCCTTCATCTTTGCACTCTGGATGCCTCTTCCTTTCCTTCTCCCTCTCAGTCAGCTCCTATTATCCCAATCCATCTCCTGCCAGCTTTACATTAGTTCACCACTTTGCTGCCCCTGCTGCCCTCTCTCTCATTCTTTGTTTCACTTACTGTCCTTGACATGCATCTTTTCCATTCTCTCTTCTGATGCAGCCTTGTTTGTGGACTATATTGGTTTAAGTTTTTTCTTTCCTCACTGGGTGGTTTAACGGGCCAGCATGATTTCATCAATGTGAATCAGTCAGCCTGATAAGATGTGACCCAGATGGGATCTCCATCTCTTTTTAAAGCCATTATGACCATCCGGCTACATAAGCTCTCGTTCATGGTTTGGCCTGCGCCTAAAAATTGTGTTTAGGTGCTTCTGTGCCCTCCCTAAAATAGTAAAAAGAAATTTTTTTTGTCCCATTTAAATGACTAACAATGTTTGTTCTCATTACGTAGTCCTAGTTTCTGTATGGCAGTTTTTTTTAGTATTTTTGACCACAGACACAAAGTAATTTAGAACTCTTTAAGTTTGGCTTTAGGTTCTTGTTAAGATCAATAACAATACATTATAATCTTTTTTATTTTTTTATTTTTTACGATTGCAGGACTATCTGATTTCTTCTTAAAGTCTTCCTCGCCAACTCTAAGATAATTGCCTCAAATTGTCTGGTATTCAACATCAAAGCTTGACGTTTGTGTTTCTAAAGTGTCTGATTGACAGTTAAGAAGTTAAAAGCTTGTTATTGTTGGTCCCAAAACTTTTATAGGAAATTAATTGTTATCAATCAAGTGTACTCTAGTGATTCTTTACGATTTTTAAAA